CAATGAATCAACATCAGGACGGGGGACCACAGCAGCCCCCGCAGCACCGACTAAACGCTAGTACACTCTCTAGTAACGCCTGATCTCACCTACAACCGACCGCCAACCTCCGCAGCCGCCGCACAACAGCGGCGGCGGCGACACATCATCGGCACATTCCGAAAAACCGCTCGGAAAAACACACAACCGACAGTATTCTACCCCCGCCAAAGAGCTGAAGGGGGGGGGGGGGGGGGGGGCCCCGCAGCAAACAGGAGCAACAAACCAACAACCAAAGACTTTTCTGGCACCACCCTCCCTCCCGCCCGCGAGTAACATCGCCAACGCGAGTAGTTGGCGGTGTCAGACATCAAGCACGGTGAGGAGGGGTGGGGCGGGGGGGGGAAACCGCAATACCACCGCCGCAGTACCGATCTCTTTGTCTAGTAGATAAAGCTGGCGCTCGAGCTGCGGCTGCGAGTTATAATGCCGCTGGTCCCGCCGACGACCCCGGCGGCGATGCCGGCCTCCCTCGCCCCCCTCTCTTCTCGCATGAGCTGCAGGTCCGAGCTGCTGACAACGGCCACCAGCTTGCCGCTGCTCAGGGAAGACACCAGCCTGTGGTTCGTCGGGTACACCCTCAGGTTCATCAAGTCCGAGCCATGGCTCACGGAACTGTCACAAACAGACGGGGGACAAGGGGGGGGGGGGGGGGGTGTACTCATATTCGTGCATGCCGTAGTCGTTTGACCATTGACCTCGCATAATTGTACTTGCCGTAAATCCTCCACGTCATCCATAATTTACGACGCGATCTCAGTCGATAAGGAGCTAAAAGCGGTGCGTTTGTGTGCCGAGCCTCGACTCGCGTCCCCTTGCCCTGCACTCAAAAACAAACCCAACCTTTTTCTGCCCTTGGGGGTGTCTCCACCGACATCAACACCCAAAAAAAAAAAGGTCGCAAACATCCCAACCTATGGTGCAACTCGCATGTTCCACGCGTCGTGGTTTTCTGCCCTTGATGGGGTCTCCACCAACACACACAATAAATCAAACGGTTACATGCATCTCAACCAACCTATATGACATATTAAACTCGCGTGTTCCACGCGAAGCGGTTTTCCGCCCTAGAGGGGGTCTCCACCAACACACAAAAAATCAAACGGTTACATACATCTCAACCTATTGCATACCAAAACTCGCGTGTTCCACGCGTAGTGGTTTTTCCGCCCTTGCGGGTCTCCACCGACCACCCCCCCCCCAAAAAAACGGATATATAAATCCCAACCGATTTATATAAAACTCACGCGTTCCACGAGTGGTGGTTTTCCGTCCTTGCGGGTGTCTCCACCGACCCGCAAAAAAAAAGAAAACGGTTACATACATCCCAACCTATTGATATGTGAAACTCACGTGTCCCACGAGTGGTGGTTTTCCGTCCTTGCGGGTGTCTCCACCGACCCGCAAAAAAGAAGAAAACGGTTACATGCATCCCAACCTATTGATATGTAAAACTCACGTGTCCCACGAGTGGGGGTCCTTCTTGAGGTGGAACTCGGCGGCTAGATCGTCTGCGATCTGCTCGAGGGTCTTGCCCTGGGTCTCAGGGACGCAGAAGTAGTAGAAGAACACAGACGCCTTGTCAAAAACAATAGGCAAGCAAGAGAAAAACACGACATGCAACGGAGAATACAGAAGGAGGGAAAAACAGGGCCATAAATGAAGTAGCGTCGATTGGGCGATCGCACGGGATACAAAGCAGGAGGTGGGTGCCTGTACCGGCAGTCAAACCGATAATCAGCACTTTTTATCCTGTTGTTCGTTCTTTGGAATGCCTTTTCTCCTAAGTGGCTCTCGATGACGGGTTAATCTTACGACGAAACAATCCGACTCGAGGAAAATCCACAAAAGCCGGAGTAGTTGGGATGCAGGGGCGTTGCCTGTGTAGGACGACTACTGTAGATGCGCTAACGCACGCTCCTGCCTACGCTACAAACACCGGCGCAGGACAGAGAACCAAACCTCAGATAAAAAAAAAATGACGAGCAAGACCGTCGAACTGAACGCTTATGACGCCAACGTGTGAGAACATCGATACTCGTCCTGCTTTCTTTGCCTTGGAGGGTCTTAGGGGCACTTCAAAAAATCGTCACTATAATACATCTTTCCACCAAGCTACATGTTTCCCATCAAGAAAGATTCGGAGAAAGGAAGGTCTATCCACGCCTCTGGTGAAAATGGAGTTCTGTAACCGACTGGTTCTTCGGGGTACAGTATCGACGATGACATGTGTGATCGTGATACACCTTCCCCCTCCAAGCTCACCAATGAGATGAGGGCGAACATGAGGAACGCTCCACCGGGGGTCAACGCCTGCGAAATGCTGGAAAAACACAAAACAAAAAAAAACGAGTCGAGCCCCGAGTTGGAAGCAGGAAGGAACGACAAACGCGTGTCCATCGAACAGAAAAAAAAAAAAAATCAAAGCTCTTCCCTTACTTCATGAGTGGCAACACACGAAAAGAGACCGTTAATTTGGACGAGAGGATACGCACGGCCGCAAAATACGACAATCGATGAGTCACGAAAGAAATAAAAGTCCGGCAATAGTGGTCCGGCAGCAACAGTTTGGCCATATCCAGGTCACGCGCGCTGACAACGGTGGCAAAGACAACAACAACCAAGTACAGTTTGAGCGTTACAGGATAGGTCACGAGAAAAAACGGAGGCTACGCCACTCGGAAAGGGGCACGAAGCAGACACAGACCCGCACACGCATGTTGAGTACCGGGCGTCTAGCTAATCTTGGTCAAGCCACAATATCAATATCTTAGGAGTGGACGGATACCGTATATGACACAAGATAACACACCCCCTGGACCGATTTTCAAAGCTCGATTACTCCACGACGAAGAGGATGCATAAAACGAAACAATACATTTTCGAAAAGCTCTCGACGAGACGGTTCCAACGCCGCCGTTTTCGGCGCTGTGACTCTTCCTGCTGTTGAGAAATCGAGCTTTGAAAATCGGCCCAGGGGGTGTGTTATCTTGTGTCATATACGGTATGCACTCGGGCTGTCTATCCGCCGCAGGGGAGATCGTGCAGCATGCAAACACCGCTGACTCATACCACATTGTTTATCACCCGAGCAAGGTACTGCAGTTGGGCGTGTGGCATTTACGACACAAATGACACAATCCCCATCTGCTACCGTCGTGTGTACAACGTCAACGTTCCGGTCGGAAAACGCATCAGACACCCCCCGTAACACACATATCGGAGCCCCCTTCCTTCCCCAATACCGACGGACAGGTCAAAGCTTTCACCGGACACAGAGAAACACAATTGGCGTTTCCTACCAAAAAATCAAAACGCACATAGCCTCCGAAGATAGTAAAAACACACGATGATATACGTACCCCAAACCCTGAACAATGAGGCGGGCAAATACCATCCCTGGGACTTCGTGAGGCATACACCACACTGCCGCCTTGTCTACCGGTGCTTCCGCCCCCAGCGCTACTACTTCGGGTTTGGGCATCCATCAGCGTTCAAGGCACCATAATACATTTTGCATGCGTACCTGAGGAAGGAGGTTGCGATGAGCCCGCTCAATAAGCGGTTAACGAAGACCACCAAGCTCACCGCCTTACCGCGGACCTGCATCGGGAAGACCTGCCGTTTGGTGGAATCACAACCACAAAAAAAAAAGGGACACGAACGAAACAACGTCAAGAAAATACTCGCCATATTTTTACAGCAGTACGCGTAGCATACAGAAACGTAGCTGGTGTATGCGAAATTTTTACTTTGTTTTTTATCTAGAACGGAAGGAGCGGTGACACCACTCTTTGGAACCCAAAGCATATGACAACGAGAATAACACTTGGCCCCCGCGACGACGACGCACGTTAGTCGTCCCCAAGTCTCTTCTCTCCCCCCTGCCCCCCCTCTCCCTCTCATAATCTCGACCGAGAAATAATTCATTGATGATGATAAAGAACAGCAGCAGATGGCAAAACCCCTCTGACTACCCCCACGCAGCCCTCCGCAGTGCTTTCGATCGTGCTGCTACACGAAACCTTGCCCGCAAAAAGCTGGCGAACGCCATCCAGGCTTTACAAGGATGCGAGACATATGGCCGAGACACTACAGCACCCGGGTTGCAGCTCTCACAAAATGAAAGAAAAAAAAAAAGCCATCGGAGCTCCGGGAAAATCGATGGTGCCGCCGCGTGAGCCCCCAGGATTTGTTGCTCTGTGACATCATCTGGTGCATACCTTTGTCACCGCTGGTGCTCCCCACGCAGATGGCTACGTGCTGCGAAACCAGCAGGATACCTCAAGCATGTCATGTTCTACACGTGCAGGCATTTGGTTTTGCCCCGGTTTCGCTCTAAACCTGGCAAATACCGTGCGATGAAAAGCCAAAGAGCTGCTGCTTCCAGCCCGTCTCGCGCTCTCTGCACCAAACTCCACGCAGCTACTCAGCTAGGAAGAGTTGACGAACTCGCTCGAGACTTCGCCAGCGTGGACTACATAGGCATAGGTAGCATTGAGCGGTTCGCGCAATTTTGTATCGCCACTACGAGGGTAGTTCCAGTGAAGCACCCCATCGCCTACATCGAGCAAACAAACGCCCCACATGTCTACCTCCAATTCTGTTTGGGTTTCTCCCGAGACGCTGTACCACCTCCTACTGCAACTTCAGCGCGTTACCCAGGTCGGTAGAGCATCCGACAACAGGCTTCAACGGTGTCAATTGTGAAGATGACACACACCTCAAGAGGGGCTTTTCAAATGGTGGCGCAAGATTGGATCGCAACTGCAGCCAACGTTGTTGAGGAATGACTGCCGGTTGGTCCCGATGGGAAAAGAGCCAGCAGGGTTTCCGTACCGTCATAATTTTGTGCCGAAAAACCTCATGAAAACACGTTTTTTTTTGTGGGGGCTGCACCCCGGGTGACAAGCGGTAATGCATGAGCGGGGTAGTGGTGACCCCCCCCGCCCCCCGCCCCCCAAGGAGGTTCTGTGACTGCCTCACCTCCGCCGCCACGACAAAGGTGAGCGGTCCCAAGCCGATGCTGAAGCAGAACATGAAGGCGCACAGGACCACAAGGGTGGGTATCGCGCTCCATTCCAAGAAGAAGGACTGGGCGATGAGAAGGAGAGTCAACGTGCTCGTGATGGAGCTCAACAAGAACAAGGGCCGTCGACCGACTCTGTTTTTTTTCAATGGGGAAGGAAATGCCGAAAATAGAAAAAGAAGCGGAACAAAAGTCGAGGACGTTGGCGCACAGGACCACAAGGGTGGGTATCGCGCTCCATTCCAAGAAGAAGGACTGGGCGATGAGAAGGAGAGTCAACGTGCTCGTGATGGAGCTCAACAAGAACAAGGGCCGTCGACCGACTCTGTTTTTTTTCAATGGGGAAGGAAATGCCGAAAATAGAAAAAGAAGCGGAACAAAAGTCGAGGACGTTCGTCATGTTGGACGTGTATCGTGTTGACTCGCCAATCGCGAAGCAGCGCAGTGATTTTCAGGTGGATTTAAGGAGGAATCTCAGTCGTCCCCTCGAGATTGCATCGTGTTCTTTTGCTTCCACTGGTTTGGGTATTGAGTTAATCCTAAGCGTACTTGCACGTTTTTTCTCGCAATATCGTTTCCTGCTTTCACCATATTTTTCCATATACGAAAATCTTGTTTCTCCATTTCTACTTTGTGCTCTTGTGCTCTGGAGGTCTAGGATAGAGGGAAAGGCATGTTTTTTATGTGAAAGGAACCAAAAAAAGGCGAAAGTACAACTACTTGTATCTCCACAACGACAACGATGACGACAACGACGACAACGTCAACGACAGGGACACGCCACACAGCGAAATTAGCCTCCGACTTTCTTTCTCGCACGATCCGGTCACCGTGCACAGCAGGAGCACCACCACCGCCCCCCTCACCTTTCGATCAGCACCGCCGCCAAGACTTCTCCCAGCAGCTTGAACACTCCCACCATGCAGGTCCCCGCCAGCAGCAGCCCTCGTGACGTCATGCCCGCCGCCTGATTTCAGCGCAACACGAAGACACACGCGCACCACTCAGCTCAAGGTGTTGGCTCATGTGCGCGTAAAATTGCCTGTCTTCTCAGACCCACGTGCATCTACAGCCTTCGCAAGCGAGAAGTAGCAGGAGATTCGAAGAACCAAGGAACACGAAAGGCTTCGACTCCCGTTCTCTCATCAGAGATAAAAAAAAAGGAAAAGGCGAAGTAGAAGTCCACGGCTCATGCTTGTTCATCAGCAGCGATCGGTCGCCCTTCCTCGAAAGGATCTTCCCACGCCGTCATGAGCAGCTCATCATCCTGTCTCGCTTGATCCTGCCTCTCTGCCGATACTTGACGAGGTCAACGTGCGCCGCCCGAAAACGCTGGCCAAAACAAATACAAGCAAGACCGTTTTTGCACGCTCAAGTCGGTACCATCGAGCACCACCACCAACCGTTCATCCCTTCCTGTTGGCATGCCACAGTGGTGCGGTCTTAACTGCATCACCGTTGTAAAAGCTCCATCCCGAGGATCCCCTTCAATACACGAAACCGTACCCGAGAAGAGCGACAAACCACCGCCCAAAAGGTCACCGGAAGGCAGACCGTTCTACAACCATCGCATCCGTGGCCCGCCGCCATCCTCCCCTTGTCGTCCTTGTCTTCCGTAGACTCCACTCACCTCTAGCACGTGGGGGGAGTAGTACACCGCCGCCTCCGAGCCGCTGGCCTGCTGCCAGAACCCTAGCCCCAGCCCCACGAACAACGCTGCCCCGACAACCTTATCGCTGGCGTCAGCAGCCGCGGCGGTGCGCAGAACGGATGGCACGTGTTGAGTGGCACGGCACGTGTTTTCGCCATGGTGCGCACACGTCGAGAGAGAGCGAGAGAGAAAAAAAAAAAATGAGATCAGCGAGCGCGCGTGTCTCTGTGTTGTCGAGAGAAAACAAGACATGGAGGAAGGAATTGCAAACGACGCGTTTCTTGGCCGTTCTTCTCCATCCGAGCACACGCACTTGCACCTCAAGACCCATTTTTTTTTTAACACGATGAACGTACAGCAGTCCGTAGAGGCCTTACCATAAGCTTTACAGTACAGCGCTACTAAAGTAATCGCACCTTTACCGGAGGCTCCCGCGCTACTCAAACTGGAGAATATACAGCTTGCGCCATCCATACCCGCCTAAAACCTGTGCCACTGCAAATTTACCGCGCTCAATAGAGGGGCCCAGCACTATTTCAGACGGCACCATTGCGGTACAACACCCCTCGCGAATCCACGTGAACAAATCCAGCCCCGTCATCACCACCACACCCACAGCCAGCGCTTGTCGGATCGTACCTCGGCCACAGGACTTCCATCCACCCGGGCTCTTCGTTGTTGTCACCCCCGTTCGCGGCGTTGCCGTGGGACTGCACAGACTTGACGATGGCCTGTAGGACCAACGACAGAGGGCGCCGGCGAGCGTGTGCCGTTACGAGATACCACCCTTAAACCGACTTGGTAATCATGGATGGTGCGAGATGACACAAAAACGACCCGTTTGGGCACGGACGGTACACTACTGCTGGGCCGACACAAATACAGAAAGCGTTAAATTGCGCCTCCGTTGTATAGCGCATGTCCCCCCCCCAAAAAAAAACAAACAAGAGCTTTTTTCGTGTACAATCTACGACGTTGACGCCATTTTCATGGTGCACTCTGTGCCCAACCCATTGCCGCACCTCGAAACAAAAACGAAACACTCTTCTGTTATCATCGTCTTCAGCGTAAACCCCGGCCGACGTTTCCAGAAAACCGAAACATGCCCAAAGGTGTACAAAGACTGACGTTACGTCCAAATGAATTTTGTAGACGACACAAGCAAACACGTCATGTCGCTGCACGCACCTGCAGGGTTTCCTTGGCTTCGATGGGGTCGTCAATCACCCTCCCGAGCACCTGTTGTTGTCGGTACATATCATTGGTGGTGGTGGGTGTCGTTGTCGTTGTTGTTCGTGGGGATGATGGCCGTTGTTGTCGTTATTGATGTTCGTGGTGTCGATGGTAGTTTGTTCGTCGTTATTGTTGGTAGCGTTGGTGGTGGTGGGTGTTGTTGTTGTTGTTGTTGTTGGAGGAGGAGGAGGTGGTGGTGGTGGTGGTGGTGGACGTAACAGGGCGATTTATTTTGTCGTTTAGTTGGTGTTGGTGTTCGCGGTGATGGTTATTGTTGGGGGTGGTGCATGTAGCGGGGTTGTTTTTCGTCGTTGTCGTGGGTGTATCATCGCAATCGTTCATGGTTGAAACAAAGGCAAGGCAAGGGAAGCGCAAGCGAAACGACTGGCAGCAGCAAGCACCGTAGGAGAACACCCATTGCAGTGATAATTTACCAAAATCACACACACGAAGAAAAAGGAGTGAAAGTAGAAAAAGTAGAGGTCAGCTCACGTAAGACGGGGGGGGGCGAACGAAAGCTAGGTGTATCATGTATCATACGACCTCTCTCAACAAGAGGAGAGGGCACACACGAAATGAGATACGCATACCGCCAACAAAAAGGCCAAGCGGAACAACACTCTCCCGGGCACCCCGCAGGGCAATTCGAATTGTTCCAACAAAACTCGGTTTGTTTACTGTCTACGTACGCCTTTGTCTACGCCTTCAAACACATCCCCTTCGGCTCTGGTTATAGTATGTCTCTAACGAGTAGCCTTTTCTTTCTTTGGTTTGATGCGTATTTTCTTAAACCTGCCCACCATGTATCACACAAACAAGACGCAATCACCTGGTAGCCCTCCCTGATTCGCCCCCTGGAGATCAGCCACCTCGGCGACTCCGGCAGGAAAGTGAGGCTGATGACGATGACCGCTGGAGGCAAAATCCCGAGGCCCAGCATTATCCTCCACTTGAGCCACACGGGGGGGATCAGCTCCTGGCACGCGAACCCGGTGATGTACCCTTCACGAGGCCAAAAAATTAACGGGACGATTTAAAGTAACGGGACACGTCCGTGAGCGCGGCGGGTTGAAGATGTAACGGGGTTCTTATCGAAGGAAGGTCACCACACGAACGAGGGACAACCGCAACAACTAACACCTAGACCATATCCAAATGTAACCCAAACAAAAAAAATGGTAGTGGACATGTCACGACCACGGGGCGGCACGACCCCAGGGTCCCTAGTCTAGCACGAGACATGAACGGGGAATCAGCTGCTGCCACGAAGGACAAAGCAATACCCGGCAATGCAGCGAGGGATTGTCCTCAGCCTCGTTTAGCCATCTCAGGAGGGCTTGGCACTTGGGACTCAACATGTAGACGCACAAGTTCACGCACTGTGTACGCATAAAAAAATACTCAGCAGCAGCAGCAGCAGCAGCAGCAGCAGCAGTAGAAGATGCTGCTGCTGCTGCGTAGACCCGAGAAGGACAAAATTTGGAAATACATTTCGAGCCCCATATTGATTGATAGGACCCTGGTTACTCCATCCCACTTACAGCCGTACGCCCAATTTCTCCACCCCTCTTCCAAAACCCATAATTTCTAAACACCCGCATTCCCAAGCCTACACATATACTTCACAATTTGTCCCGGTAACAACGGTCGGACAGCAGGCCAACGTTGGAAACAGACAAGACTCAACGCGTTGCTTGAAAAAGACATGTCTCGACTATTGGGACAAACTCAGCGGGAAGGGGGAGACCAGGCGGAGTGACGACAGAAACAAAGCAGTGTCGAGCAGCCGCTCGAACACACAAAAGAGGAGCAGCAGGACCGGACACACTTCACGTACGTACTGATTTGTTCGACCAAATAAAAACCACTCACCGAGCAAGATCCCGATGTTGATCATGATGTCCGTGAGCGCCACCAGCTTCCCTCGGATGTGCGGGGGCGTGATCTCCGTGATGTACACGGGGGCCACGACGAACCCGCACCCCACCCCCAGCCCCGTCAGGAGCCGCCCCGTCAGGAGCTGGGCGTACGTCATCGACAGCGTCATGCCCCCGGCCCCCGTGATGAAAATGCCGCACGCTATCGCGATGGCCGTCTTCCGGCCGAGGGCGTCGGAGGCCTTGCCTGTTTTTTTTCACCGTGTATTATGCATTTATCGTGGGGGAGAAAAAATGTTGGTTTTAGGATAGGGGTAAAGGGTTGACGTTGTAGTGTGCGTGTTTATCTTTGCCGAAAAGCACCGACCACTCTGGCTGACTTGACCAATAAGCAAGGGGGCAGTTGTGTCTAGCCGGAGTGTGTGCGCGCGTGCTTTGCGGTCGTGTGTTCTTGCGCGGGGGCGCGACTGGTGGAGGTGGTGGCATGGTGCACGGGGGGACGAGATTGGAATCCGGAGGTAGAGATTTATTAGGGGTGCTTGACGAAGGTACCCAATTCTTGCACAAGACGAGCAGCACACGAAACTGTCCTTCGAGGTTGCTACCTGGGACCGCGCATGACACGATGGGAGAAACGTTCAGCAGCTACTATGTATGTAGATACCATCACGAGGATGTTCGAGCACGGAAACAGGAGACTGAACAGAGAAAACCACGCTAGGAACAGAAACACGGATTAACGATGCAACGCAGGCTACGCAGATCATACTATGGGCTCGTGTCTGGGAGTTCCGTGTTATGTAAAACGCGGTGAGATGCCCAAGAGAACGGCCAAAACCTCCGCGTTCGAAACAGAGAGCAAGGTCGAAGTATGCGAGCAGGAGAGCAACACGAGCGTGTTGTCTGATGCTGCTGGTGCGGCAAGCGCATGACGCTGGGTTCGCACATGTAGTTCCTCGTGTCACGAGTTCAGCGGACTACTGCTGAGGGACCAGTTTGCTCTGATGTTTCTCTTGTGGTGTTCTCTTTCTTCGTTGGCGCTACTGCTCTCCTTTGTCTTGCCCCCCTCCTCCCTATGACACCGACGAGAGAACGTGATCCCATCTTCTCGGACGCAGCCCTTGTTCGAAAAGAAACAAAACACGCTCACCCTTACTCCTGACCTATAAGCAAACAACGAGCCATCATTTTTCGGTATGAGTATGTGACCACGGCTTTGAGTGAACGGCACAAGTGCTGTGAGCGCTGATCTGAAGTGAAGACAAAAAAAACAAAACAGTACGTATATTACCAAGACCACTGTAAACTACGAGCGATCCTTTTCCGGTATGCCACCTCATGGGGACTACAAGCTGCACGCACGCTATCGGTCTTCCCCAAAATCCAAAAATAGACAAACGCACACAAACCTATGCGTACCAGCGTGTATCCCGCTCTTGTTTCAACATGATCATTTAATACGTGTAATATGAAGTAATTCAATACTTCGAAGCACAAAGAAGATCCTCCTTCTACCCCGAGGTGGGGGTGGAGGGAACACGCTGGCTCCCCCGCTTACGATACGCCTCTCGCTGTACCTGCGATGAGCCCACCGAACGCGGCGATGACGTTGAGCGATCCCACCAAAATCTCGGCCTGAAGGGGAGAAAGGCCCATGTCCTCCTCGATATCCAGAATCGCCGCCGACATCACCCCGACGTCTTCGCAACAGCACAAGACACGAATAAGGAGGGGGGAGGGCTGTTACTGAGGCAGGAAAGGGGCGGCGAGGACAAAGCGTGCCCCTGTGTATGCATACAATCAAGCGTGCACAACCGACAACAAGACGGCGGAATTCGATAGAGACACGTCCCGTGCTCATCGCGTCACAAGTACGGCCTACGAGATCAGATCGCCCTCTCGATAGAAGATGGTGTCTGAGGGCGCGCGAAGCAGCACGAAGCCGCGCGTGGAAACGGCTCAAGATGTGTCCCGGAGGTTTCGAAGCTTCCCGCCAGGAGGTCAACACGACGGCCGTTTCAAGAGAGAGCGCGGTTTCGGTGACGACATCGAAAATTCACGTGTAAAGCAACTCAAAATAATACACAATAAACGGAACAGACGCGCATGCATGCATAGAAGTAGCTGAAGTAGCTGGTGTGCGGGAGGGATTAGTCTAGCTATGCAACCACGTATCTGTGACCAAAAAGTAAAAAAACGATGCCGAATGTGCGAGACCGCAACTTTGTTGGGGCATAAGCACGGGCAAGGAAGGTACGAGCATCAAGAATGTTTTGGAGATTTCGCACGAACGCGTCCAACTAAAGCTGCTTGATCCGCACACTCAAAAACTATTTTGTTATTCAATTAGGCAGCGTGCGATTCTTTCCCTTGGGAAAACGCGTCCTCCACACAAGTTTCGTGAGCCCTACAGGGCCACGTATCTGATACCAGGTACTACTGCAACACTACGGCGTGCATTTGCAGTTTCATTCGACGTTCGTGATTCTTGAAACGCTTTAGAAGAGTTAAACACAATCACCGAAAGACTGATGTAAACCTATCGAGATAACACCTCCCAGCAGTCGAAGGGGGTGCGGGGATTGCATTGAATGCATTTGCAGTGAGTGGCTTTCTTCGCTATGGTTGGATCGGCGCGCCAAACCCAACGTAACGGGGCAGTTTGACTGGGGGTAACACAGTTTTCTGGTGGCGACAAGAGTTACTCTTGTGTTCGGTGACCATTCTGCTTCGCACGCAATGCCAAGCGCGGTTGACACCTGCGGAGCTCCTCCGCGAGGGGCCCAACGCATGAACTGCGTTCAAATGATGTTGGGATGGATGTCCAAATGTCAAAACGAGGGGAAACTTTGGCGTGCCGTGCACGGAACGAGACTGGACTGCGTGCGCGCTGTTCTGGACACGCCGCTACCAATATCCAGCAATAGCCTTCTCAGGGTTTTTCTATTTTCTAAGTGAGCATGTTGGATAAAATATTCAACCGGGGAAATTGGGGGGTTATTCAGGGTTAGGGATATGGACAGCCTTCGCCAGAAATTACGCGTATGAGGAAATAGAATAGGGAGGGGGTACGCAGACCCTATTTCCTAACCCTAACCCAACTTCCCCGATTGCGTTCTTTATCCAACACGTCCAACCTGTTGTACTTCGTGATACGTATACGTAGCAAAACCCCCTTAGCGTGCGAGCTGTTTTGTACCCGACAAAAATTGTTCTGGGTTCGCTGCCGCTTTCCTTTGCGGTAATGGTCGGAGGACCCTCGTGCCCTCGGAGCAACGCACCGCGCGGGTACAGTATCTTCATGTATGACGCGCGCTATGCATGACAAGAGGTGCACATCTCTTGGAATGGTCGCGAAAACGGCCCAAACAGAACGCAAAGTCACGGCAACGGTGTGCTTACGAACAACTCTGTGATGCAGGTCCCGTTCATGTTGTCGTTAGCCGTCTTGTATCATAGTACTTGTGCGTACAAGCATGCGCACACATGCAGTTGAAGGCGCAAACCGGCTCTTCTATCTACAGAGCCCAGCAAGAGCGGCAATAACGACGAAGAAGACAGAGAAGAAGCCAAGCCTTGGGCCACACACAAGCCAGCAGCACTACCAGCAAACACCCGCTCTCCCTACCGCCGCCGCCGCCGCCGTCTGCCTCTCTGCTTACCGTAGCCCAGCAGCACCGAGGTCAACGAGGAGCACAAGGCGCACAGGTAGATCAGCGCGGTGGCCGAGATCCTGCCCGGGTCGACGTCCTCCTCCTCCTCCTCAGACATCTCGCTCGCGTACACGCGGCCCACCTGCCCCCAGGCGTTCTCATCGCCGCCTCCCAGGGGCAGGAACTCATCCGTCACGGGCACGAAGGCTCCGTACGAGGGCGAAGGGCTGAACCCTTCGTGGTCTTGCCCGGGCTGGAGTAGGGTCGACGTCGGCACCGCGCTGATGGGTGGCAGGAGCGTGTTCTTGCCGTTGGCATCGGTTGGAGCCGGCATGATGTGCACAGAAGCACACCCTGTCCGCGGTCGAGGGTGGCGTGCACCTACGGCAGCAACGGCTTTGGCAAGTAAATGCAAAGGTAGAGTGAGTCTGAAAGTGGTTCTGTCTTCTTACGCATCGAGGGGGCTCCGCCATGGGTACCCGCGTGTACGAGGCACCAGCGTGAGCGGGCGATTGGTCTCTCTCATTATCTTTCGTTGTGTTGTTACGCCGCTCGCACGGCTGCCTGATGTAGTCTCGCCCCCCCGGACTCTGTGGGCGCTCATAGTTGGAGCTGGAGGCGTCAAATGGTCGGGGGAAAGTGGGTGATGTTGTGCGTGGTCTGTCGTTCTCTACAGCATTGCCATTCGAGAGTTGTAGCACCGGGCCGTGCAGTAACAACGCAGCAAGCATTAGCGTTCACGTCGTCGTCGCTGCTATCCCAGCGGGGCCGCCGGATAGGAGGCAAGACACCCAGTACTAAAAACTCCGTGCTGCTGCCGCCAGCAGATGCGAGACAAATGAAAGGAAACCAAAGCGCAGTGTTGGCGACAAGAATAAGAGCTGGACGAGGTATGTTTAGCAGCAGTGCCCTCGAAGGACGAAGGAGAGGAGGAGGAGGAGGAGGAGGAGGGAGGGGTCGCGGCGCAGGGCGACGCTCGCCAGACTATGGACCGCGGGCAGGACAGCGGAGGTGACTACATATAGACAGGACACACCATACCATAGGTAGTTAATAGAGCACGGGCTCTTGCTTAAACGAAGTGCTGTATACTTAGAAATGCAAAGCGCTTGTGGAAGCATAGATTCAAGGTGGCATATAATACAGCAGTAGTTCCAAGGTGTTGGATTGTTGAAGTACAGCACCAACGGCGCAGGCAAAGCGGAGTCATCTAATCGAGTGCACAACAAGCAAGAGCGGCATGATTTAATGCAGCTAATCCGATTTCCGCATCGGGATCGGTGATACCGCACCCTAGCACCGACCCAAACCTCGCTTGGGTATTGTAAGCTTGCGTGCTGCCGGCGGGCCGCTCTTTGATCTCTAACGGGTCTCAGTTGGAACTTTTAATGCGGCGAGGGTATCATGGGTGCGCCACTCCTTTGATGCATACGCTGTGGCGGCCCACGCGTGGGAATGAATCAAGTTGTTTGATCGCATGTGGGTGATCATGTAAAGCCCCGTATGAATATGGCCGCAGTTTGTTTATAAATGACCCTGCTCATGCAGGGCTGCCTCCGAGGTCCGCTTTCCTTTGAACGTGCGTGCATTGGTGCGTGGTTGGTTGCGACGAACGAAGTGTTCTCGAAGTCAAACGGCAGAAGACTGCTTGCGTTGAGCGAACAGTCGGCGCGTGGCTCTTTTGCCGAGGCTTTTGTTTGCCGAACGGAATTCGCCGAGAATCTAAAAAGTACGAATATGGCCGCTGTTTGTTCATTCAATACTCCTTGTTACACCCCTTTTTATGGAGGGATCGCGGCACCGGAGCGTTGGACAAGCTCATTTTTTTGTAAGAGCGAAACGAATAAGCGCACTTGCGCACCGGGATCGGGGTTTTCGCACCACCCATACGGGATGATGGCACCAGGGTACGTAAAAGACCAAAAGAAATGTGTTACAAAGAACACACCCTGGCCGGCACTTTGTTCGTTTGCGATACTCCACACGGCAGTGTACTGCTATAAGAATGACCCTCGGCAGGGGTTCCATACGCCGACTCCCCCTCTGCAAAGAATTATCGGGCTGGACGGGGTTGACGTCGATCGTCAAAACCTCACAATACGAGTTTCATTGTGCCTCGCCCGGACGTTGTCATTTTCAACGTGCGGAATCCGGTGGCGTTCAAGCACCAAAGAAGGGGTGACGAGGAGCACACGAAGCACGGGACCGCGAGCGTGGCGATCGAAAGAGCAACACCGCGCCCCTCCCAAAATGCCGGCCTATGGCACCTACCCAACCACCCACCGCACCTGTGCGTAGAATCGACCCAACTCAGGGCAACCTTGCATCCATCAGAAGTAAGAAGCAAGGTTACGGTTCGGGTGGCTTAGGTCGGCTAACGACCACAACGGCGAGGCGTAACGCAGACGCAGCCAATGAAAACCGCGGAGTAATGCGTCAACACTTGGCTTTTGGGGGCACGTTGAATCCTCTTGAGCCTTGTTTCAGCACCGGCACGGAAGAGACACACGCGCCTGTGGCTCTGGGTATTGGCTTTGGCACTCAACTCCGCAGCATGTTTTGTTTTTCGAATCATGGGTTTTGGATGTTCAACTTCCGTCCCACCTAGTTCGGCGAAACGGTATTTCTGAATCTTGATCGCCACCCCCACCCCGGCGCTGTTTTTTTTTTTTCCGACAGGAGCAACGTTCCTCCGGGAACTTCGGTCGAAGTGGTCCAAAAGCAGCACCAACGCACCGGGGAGCTTACCCCGGGAACTGTCAGTAGGCTCTTGACGAATTCGGGCTTCCACCCCCGTGGAATAAAGGTGACCCGCCTCATGTAGCATATAGCACAAGTACATTGTAGCTGCAGGGTGTAGATGGCGGAATTGGGCTTTGAGAGAACTGACGTGTGCCCGAGAGCGTGCAGGGTATCGCAACGTTGTCCACAGGGTCCAGCGAGAGCGCCTCTTCGGCACCACGGAGGGGGCTCGCACGACCGCCTTCGTCACCGAGCAAAATTCCCCCGCTTATCTCCACGTTGACCTACCTGTCCTTTGTGTACGTCTCTGTCGACCCGCACAGGTGGTGCTTGCTGGGGGTGTGGTCGGTCGCGTGCAGAACGTCCCAGGTGTCGACGAAGCAACAACAACTAATACGTCGACCGACATGCCCGTAGTCGATGGCGCGCGTGGTTACAGCAGCAGCAGCAGCAGAAGCAGAAGCAGCAGAAGCAACGGCGGCGCCAGTGGCGACGATGCTGGTGCCGTCATCGACCCCCTTGTCGTTGCGTCCACAACAATGGGCACCACCAGCCGGCGGAGGGCATCACCCGTTGAAAGACAGGGGAACGGTTCCCCGGTCGCCACCCCGGTCGCAGCTGCCCCGCCCCCACGCCCACGCCCGATCAGAAAATTCCGCGCAGAGAGGGTCCAGGGAAGGTCATGGAGCCTCGAGGGCGGGGAGGTTGTGGCGCGGCGGGGGGTGGACGGCGAGGAGATCACCGGGAAAGCAGCGGGCGGCGCGAGTGATTGGGATGGCAGGAGAGGGAGAGGAGGAAGAAGAGGGCGCGGAGGCAGACGCTGATTTTTGTGGCCTGCCTCGTGTTGCCTCCAGGGTCAAATCTACATGTGTAGTACCAGGGATTCGTTTTGTGTGACTGCCTTGTTTTGTGTGACCGCCTTGTTTTGTGTAGCTCTTCGCGGAATGGTCGCACGGATCGTTCATTGGTTGGTAGGGCGAAGACGGTGGTGCTGCTGGATTCCTCTGATGACACGGATCAACATGCGCTGTCCGCAGTAACGGAGATGGATAATAGCATGACGCTTTTGCGAAAATGGCGCTTCAATTTTGCCGCAAGTGACATGTGTCATTGAAAGAAAGGGTTGGAATGCATCCTTCTCGTGGGTGACCCGAAAAGCTGCCGACCCCGTGCGAAGGGGGTGACCCTACTCGTACATGCTGCTGTGGGGAAGTGGTGCCCAAAAGTTGGCTGATACTCTCCCGGATGCTGGCATATTTATCCTCTAGAAGTTGGCAGCGTGGTGAGGGATTAGGGGATTGGTGAAGAGTTCCACGTTCCCCTCCATCTGACCATTCGACCACCCTCCCCGCGTCAATCCCTGAAGACTGCTGTCGATTCGTCGTGTCCTCCCTCTACATTTATTTTCATGTGCTTGATAGAGACTACAGTATATAGCTCTGTTCCTTTTCTATTTTGGCAAGTTCCAAGCCATGGTCTACTTCACAGCTTGCCCGGGCTCCCTGTCTGCAACAAAAACAAACGGCTAGCGGTGGGGGCGGCGGCGGGGGATGCGATTCTTCTCCTGACACGCGACATTCATAGGACGTCTGATGACAGTGCCGTTTTTTTTCACTTCGTTTTCAGCACAAATATGCCAGTGTGTTGTGTGGGGATGTCTGGCCTGAAGAGTTACCTATGGGTCGGGCGGTGTGTATGTATCACCATGATCGAGAGCCGCCACTACAAAGTCTGTGCGATGTGGACAGCGTGAGCTTGAAGTAATACTCTCGTATTTTTTGTATGCACCAACTGACGATACAAGAAAAATGTGTACCACAGAACAAGACTAGCTTGCTACAGCAGTACAGCAAGCAGTGATCACGAGGAGTCCAGGATAAATTAGCAAATAATTCGTTATGTGACCCTACCCGTGGTTCTACTCTGTTCTCCGAGTAACGTGCAGCTGGTAGCAATACCTCCCCTGTTGTACAGGGAGGCTAACAACCATGTTCAAGGGAAAATGACTACACACACAGAAAGACTACCCATTCGAGATATACCCACAGTCGAACGGGATGTGGTGGAGTCTTTTCAGTGAGTGGAGGAAAACCGGCTGGGTACTGGACATATTTCGAGTCTCTCTAAGTCTATACTATATCAATGAAGCCAGATGGTGCTAAGTACAAAAACATGTGTAGACTATAGGTAACTTACATTTTACAATACATCTCCTGTGGGTCTCTGGGTCAGCGACAAAACATCGGGGAGAATCCCTCCGTTGTATCGTGTATTGTAAAATGTAACCTTCACAGGGGACACGGCCCAGTGTCTATTGACAGCTTGCTGGTTTGTTAGATATTAGGAATAATGTAAATATCATGGAAGATGGAACGAAGGCTACAGCAGTACACTACAGTACTTCGTTTTGCAAATCTACAGATTTTTTAATTTCACAGGCAGCAGCTGTTTCCCGCCGTTTTTTGAATTTACAAAACGTATTTGATCCTTTGGGGTAACGTATCAGTGATACTTACAGTAGATGAGAATGGTACACCTGGTGCATGGTAGGTAGGGCATAGCATTCAGTTTGTATCATGTTCGCTTGTTTCTTGTTGTGTTTGGTGTTGGTAAACAACATCAGTAGAGCACGGAAAGTTTTCAAATGATATACATCCACAATGTGGCGGTTGTTGTCAGCTTCCCTGATGGTGGTGTTCCTCAGAGCGGTTTGCCCGAGATATCTTGTCGCAACCATGTCGTAATCACGGTGTAGAGCATCCGTCATGAAGGTCAGCAGCAGCAGCGAATGGCAGTTGGTCTCTCCGTATGGAGCAGTGGTTTGCTACAGCGGTACATATGTGTCATGTACTTCCATATGCATGCATGATGGAAGCATGCATTTTCGCACAACATACCGTATAGGTTGCATACAGTAGATACCACACCCCCGAACAGATTTTTCAAGGCCCAACTACTCGACGACGACGAGGATGCCACAAGCACATCAAAATTCGGAAAGATCTCTCGACGAAATGGTCCCAATGCCGCCTCTTTCGGCACGGCCACCGCTGTCGTTGCAGCAGAGCGCGAGTACTTTGAATGAAAACCGGTCCAGGGGGGGTGGTATCTTACGCAACAAATGGCAAGCCGCGCCAGTTGCACCACACTGACGTACGTCTGGAGAGAGGTGCCCCAATCTCGCCGAAAAACAACATGAAAGGGATACGGCACACCGTGTGGTACTCCGATCTGACCCCACCGTGAATCTGCGGGTGTGCATGCATCGAGGATCATCCCACGGCAGGGTTCGCGGGTATTTTTTTCCCGTCCCGCAGGGGGGGACAACTGCAGGACCGCAAATAACGCCTCCTGGTTGGTCGCTATTACATCACATGTTTGTAGCGGTGACGCAATCGGTGTCATCCGCCGAACAGCCCGGGGAGATACGTACGTGGGTATTTGTGGTTTGAGCCCGGAGTTCAGAGGGCAACACCAGAGAGGACGCGAGCATAAACAACGCCCCATCTCACGAGAGCGAGAGTACAGAGAGAGGCCGAGAGACGGACCGCGAGACCACAGACAGATAAGGAGGGCGGGGGAGGCAGACACCCCTGCGACGCGAGTGTTTTTTGGAAGCGAGTAGAGCGGAGGGAGGCAGGGACGGGGGTGGGAAAAGGGAAAGCTGGAGAAGAAGGAGGGCAATGGCCTTGTTTGGTGACGAGGATGGGGATGTGGGCCCGTTCGTCATGGCGGAGGTGGAGGGAGGCGACGAGTGGTTTCCCTTTTCGCTAGACAACCTGGAGATGGACCGCGCGTGCAACGCCTCGTTGCAAGATGACTCGAGACCTATGGACCAGGTGCCAATGTGTTTTCAAGTTTTCCCCATGGGGCAGGCAGGCCAGAGCAAGACTTGTTCTTTTACGAAGAAAAAGCACGTCTCTTCTGTGTGCAGTCTAGAATAGAAGTCAAGCACGAACCCATAGCGCACCACCAAACGAGAGTGGCTTCAGCGCTCTGTTGCGTGCGTTGCCGATAAGCAGAAGACCCCCAGGCACCTAGTTTTCTGAGATCACCGAGCTTTACTCTCTCGCCTGTTTGACGGGGTGCCTCAACGAACCAGGAAAACGCATCGAGGCCCAGGGTTTGAGTGTTTTTTTTCGATCAGCAAGATCCCGTCTTGGCGTATTGAACGTGCGTACCCAACAGCAGCAGCCAGCACAAGCACCACCGAATCCCTCTCCGCCGTTTGGTGCTTAGGGTCGTCTTGTGTGGCGGCCCGGATATGTTGCCCTCGTTCGTTACTGCTGCTGCTGCGGCTTCGCGAGGATTTCAATCATCCGCACGGCAGTTTCTTAGTGCGTGTGTTGTCAACAAATTCAACCAGAGAGAGCCTCTCGCCACGACGTTGAAGTACATTCTAGATCACGGGGTTGGGAGGCGGGGGGGGGGGTGTACTCATGGATAACGAATCCCGTAGGACATCCACCTCGCACCCCTACAATGCCGGGACGGAACAATATGCAGGTGTTTGGCCGGCCCAGGCTGCGTTTCTCATCACGTGCGACCATGGGGTTGGGGGGGGGATAGACTATATATTTGCAATAACAAACGGTGTTTGTAAGGGTCTCCCTGCTGAACCTGATGTGTGCGACTTCTCCTGTACCCAATTTTTTTTTTAGAACGTGCATGCAGCGAACGCCTAATTATTATTCCCCCTATTTCCCATCCGCACTCGTTCCCCGTATGTAGGATGGCGACGGAGAGACCGACCAAGACGACGACGTCGACGCCGGAAACCCTTCCGCGGAGGCGTCCGGTCCAGGACCACCACCGCCGGCCCCGAACCCTGGCGGCGGCGGCGGCGGCGGCGGGAACGGCTGGAACGAGGACAGGTACCAGCAGCAGGACGGCGGTAGCAGCAACGGCAGCAGTGGTGGGGGGGGGGCGGACTCAAACGCGAAGGTCCAGCAGGGGCGTGGCGGCGCGCGGAAGGGGGTCGTGGTGTCGGAGCCCAAGATTAGGTTGGACAAGGTCAAGCCGGAGGCGAAGGAGGTGGGGGCCGTCGTAGGAGATATTCTACCTATGTACGAAGTATGGATGGAAGTATGCATGTGTTTATGAGTTTGTGTTCATCTGCGTTCCCACAAGTCGTATGCATGCTAGCTTTGCTTGTTTTTTTTTGTACAAGGGCCGACAGCACGTAGATTAGCTACTACCGACGTATCTTTTTGTAAAAGAAAAGGCAAGATTTCGTGTGCCAGGGGGGGGGCGATGCCTACGTGTGGCCAGCACTCATCCGGCACACCAATTTACACCAGACACACCCCAGACACACATCGCGAGCCTGCGAAAGAAGTGCCTACATAGCGTACGGCGACTGGTAGCGGGGGTTGATATGGGGAGGGCTTGTTATTTCTGGGCCGCTTCTCTACGGTTGAGTTGACGGTTCGGCAGGGTGGTGTTTTTTTTTGTCGGGGGGGGGCACTTTTATTGACCGTAAGGTTGTTGTAACAGCAATTCACCATTCAAAAAATCGTCCATGCTTGGACGAAAAAACTCTCCGTTTCCCTACCCTGAACCACCCCCGGCCGCCGTCGCCTACCCCTCGTCCAGGTTCACGCCTCCCACGACCGAAAAAGGCATACCTCGGAAGCAGCGGCGCCGGCGAAGCGCTCCTCCCGGGGCGAAAAAAGCGGCGGCGGTAGCAGCAGCAAGAGCAGGCAAAAGCACCACCACCCCGCCGGCGGCATGGCCGGCGGCGTCGGGGGCATGACGGGGAGGGTGGAGGGGCAGGCCGGCTGGACAACGTCGTCCGACACAAAACATAGCACCCGGACAGGTGGGGGCGGGGATGGGGGCGATGGAGGCACGACAACGAAGGCGTCGAAAACGAGTTCGAGTTCGGGCGTTAGCGGCGGCGGGAACGGCGGGTCGATGACCAAGGCACCCACGGTGCAAAACAAGAGGCGGTTGGAGCGGAACGCGCGAGAGCAGAAGCGGTAGGTTCTTAATTTTTTTTCTTCAACAGCAGAATAGCGATTTGGGACTTTTCCTCCTGTTTGTATTTTTGCAATATTAGAGAGTTTGTTTTGCCCGCTGGTGACCAGGTCCTGTTGATCATTGTTTCGCTCCCTCCAACAACGCCAATAAAAACAAACACCGAAACGCACAGGTCTCTAAAGATCAGCCAGCGCATCGAGGACCTGCGGCGGATGCTGAGCCAGTTCGGGGTGGACGTTAAGGCAAGCAAGTCTGCCGTCCTCTCCGAAGCGACGGACTACATCGCGCACCTGCAGCGCCAGCACGCGCAGTCGGAAGCGGAGCGCGCGAGAATCCTCCAGCTCTTGCACAACTCGAGAGCAGCGTCACCGTCATCGGCGGCAGCGGCGGCGGCCGCAGCGGGCGCGGGTACGGCGGCCGGCCGAACAGTGAAGCCGCCGCCTTCGGGCGCCCCCGCCCCGGCTCTTCCCCCGCAGCAGCACGGCGGTGGCGATCGCGGCGCTGGCGTTGGGGTTGTCGTCGAAAGGCCGTCGTCAAACACGATGTTGGACACGCTGCTGTCGCTCGACGACGATGGCGACATGGGGAGACCAACGTCAGCCATGACGGCGGCGAGAGCGATGGTGTTTCCTCCGCCGACCCCGCCGCAACAGGGCGAGGAGCAGATCGTGCCGGGGTTCCCGAGCTTGTCGGCGACTGCCAGAAGGGGCGCCGACGGGATGCCCGTGGCCCCGTCGGCAGCGGCGGGGGCGGCGGCGGCGGCTACCGGCAGGGCGCCGGTGGCGATGGGCGGCGCGGTCGGCGGTACGGGGTCGGCCTCGGGGGCGGCCAACCTTGCGGCCACCGCGCGCGCGCTGTCGCACGTGAACTACGAGAGGGTGTTCCGGACGCTGCCGATGCCGATGGCCATCGCCAACGTGAACGGCAACCTCGTGGACTGCAACACCCGGCTGACCCAGGTCACGGGTTTCAGGAAGGAGGAGGCGTTGTTCATGACGATATTCGACCTCGTGGCGGACCCGTTCCTCCAGCACACTTTCAGGTGCGTTTGGGAGGAGGAGACTACGGTTCACGTTTCGTGTTGGGGATATTGCTGGGGTTTGCTCCAGGTGTGTTTTTGGTCGCCGTGCGTGCCCGTTGTCCTTGTACTGCCGCCGCGGCGAAGGAAACGGTGTGGTGTACTCGCCGCCTCCCCCGTCCATTTCGGGGTGCTTTGTCCGCAGCGTATGCGTTGCAACGACGACAAGAGGAACCACAAAAAAGCCTGTGTCGCAAGCGCTCATTCCCTCCGCGTTCACAGCTACCGCGTGCTGCTCTGCCTCCCCTCCCAGTTCCAATTCTGCCGCGTTTCGCTGACCTCCCACGTACGTAACCCAACTTTTGTTTTTCCTTGTGTGCGTGAACAGCATGATCAGTTCGATCCTCAGCATGCGCGGAGTCACTGGCAACCCCCCGTTCTTCCAGGTGCCGGGCAAGATCTTCAACGGCAACCCGGGGGGGGGCGTGGTTCAGATCTCCGCCGTCCACGATGACCAGCTCAGACCAATGCACTTCTGCATCTGCATCCTCGACTCCCCCGCCACCGGCGGTGTCTCCGCCCCCGCTTCTGCAGCAGCAGCAGCTGCTGCTGTTGCTGCCACTGCTGCCGGTGGTACGGCCGGGGTAGGCGGCGGCGGGGGTAGCGGCGGCAGCGGTAGCGGCAGCTGCGTTCGTATTAGAGCTAATGTCGGTTGACCGAACAGTCGGGCCGTCGTCTCTAGTGTTGTTTCGGGCTGTAATTTCGTGAGGTAGGCAATGTGACATCAGATCGATCGATGTGAACGGAGGAGGCAGACTTAAGGGGCGCGCGGTTTGTTGGGTCGATTGGATCCATTCATTTTCTCATGGATTTGGCGTTGTTTTTTTTTTGTTTTTTTCAACGAGGGTGCTGGAAGTAACGCCGGCACGCCGGGAACGATGATGGGAAGGCGGGTTATGCTTGTTCCTTCGCTGACGATGCGGGAAGACGGGTTATTATTTTGTTGGCTTTTTTGAGGGGCAACGGGAGGAGTGATGGATAAGTTGCCCAACGGGGAGAACTTGCCGTGGGCTTGCCTAGGGTTCGGCCGAAGTGGGTGTGTCGTTGGCAGTCGTCGTTCTCCTCTTCCTCAAATGTGGGCCTGTTATTGCATACCTTAGAGGTGCTGTTGTCGTGGGCAAGAACAATATATGTGTCTGTGTGCGCGCGAGAGTTGCTCCTCGAGCGTTTGCTCGCCCACCGTTGTTTTTCCCGATACACACGTCTCGTCCTTTCGCCTCCGGGCGACTTTCTTTGTAGAATCGAACCGAGAAGAAGAAAAGGTTCGACGGCCCCCTTTTTTTTTTTTTCCGGGTATAAATATATACACATCAAAAGTATGCTGCGGCGGGGGGCTAAGACTGCTGCACCCTTCTTTTTTTTGTCCCTTGGAACCGTCGGAGAGAGCGGGCATGTGGTGTGGGTACTGCCTTGGTATCTGAGTGCTTGCTACGATGTGCTCAGGATGAATGCGTTTGTTTATTTGCCCCCCGAAACAACAGGTGAAAGGTTGTGTTGGTGTTGGATTATGACTGGAGACGGGTGGAAATTACTGACTTAGACACTTACGTTTTTAGAGGAGGGGTCACATCGCTTTAAATGTTGATACGCGATGCACGTCGGCTGTGTGGGTGCGGTGCTCTGTCCGAGTGAACGAGAAAGAATAAAGCACGAACGATTGCCGTCGTTTTTTTTGTGTGAACGGGCGCACGCGGCGCCAAGTAAAGAGACAACAAGTAGAGGCGGCGAATTTTGTCCTCACGTCTACTTCTACGGTTGCCTGGACGTGGGGGAAACGTTAGCCTGTTGGCGCAAAAAACCGAGGGCGACTTTCTGGGCATTTCCCACCTGCTGAGGGTGTGGCGTTTTTGCCTCCGACTTTTTTGCTTCTTTTTTTTGTTTTGTTTTTTGCTCGTTTCCAGTCTCTCTTGTTGTAGGCCTGGTGTAGCTGCATCGGTGCTGCCTGAACGTGTAGACGAGGGTGTGACTATTATAGACTTATAGCAGTGGGACGAAGCTTTTAGATAAAACGGATTTATGCATTCATGCATTGTAGAGCTTCTCGATATTGCTTTCTTATCTCTCTGTGGCTCCGTCAATGTAGATACGTACGGGAGGAGTTGGTACACGGCAGTAGATAGCAACAGTATAGCAGTTCCAAGGTAGGTTGGCGTGCGAAAGCTGAAGATGAGGAACGTCTGGCTCTACCAGCGACGAACGACTAGCGCGTAATCGCTAATTGTTTCGGGCGCGCCAAGAATATTTAGCTCGGTTGATTTCCTTTGCTTTTGTCCCCCCACCCGATTTTCTTGGTTGTTTTTTTGTGTGTTCTGGAAGAGTATTCGGCAGTGAAGAACTACCCGGCGCCCCGACCTGCCTAGAGACAACGGGACTTGTCAGGGGCCACCGTAAATGTTTTGAGCGGGAAGAATGGCTTGAGGGTCTTGCGTAGAGTAGCTGTGTGAAAGGGCCCCAAGGCCGCCGGCTGGTGTTGTTGTAAAATAGGCGCCTCCCACAACACTCGACGCGTAAGATTAGAGGTAATGAGTGAGTACTGAACATACATGAAATGATGCACGTCTCCGAGGTGGTGGTGGTACCAGAGGTGAACACAGCCAGACCCCCGGGGTGGGGCGAAAGAAGTGTTTTTCACAAATCTTGTTTCCCTTTGCACGTTCAGTGCAGAGAAACTATCGCCTATGCCTGCGGTGTATTCCCCCGAAAAGTTTACTGTGTTGTGCTCCTCCTTTCTCCGTTCGTATGCGAACAATTCTTATTTGTGTGTCGGTTGGTGGGTGCGTTCTTCGTTTTTTTGGCACCCATCAGGCTTTTCTGACTGGTCGCCACATACATATGATATGATTCAAGACATGGAGAGAGAGACAAGTGCAAACCACGGTGAGATGAGGCCTCGAAAGTCCCTAAATGAATAAGTCACGTTTTGCTCCCGGCTCGTTCCGGTCACTTCAATATTCTAAACCACTGAGTAGCTCTCAGCAAGATCAAGAACGCTGACCAATCTCTTCAATGGCGAAGTACGTTATTGTTGACGTGGAAACTTCTTTCGACACTCGATTCGATCCACTGACTGTTGTTCGATCGGCATCCATTCCTCCCTCCGCTTTCAACGAGAAAAAAAAACACCAACCGAGCGGCCGGTGCAGAAGAAGTAGTCTATGCGATCGGCTGATGGTCGCCGATAACCCGACGCAGGTGCATGTGGCACACGAACCTCGACGTCAGGCGTTCGTCCTGACACTTGAACGTGAATGCCAGCTCGTGCATCTCTTTCTCGAATACCTGAGCCCGTATTCGTTGTTGTTCCACGGCGGTTAGGGGGGTCGGGGCGGGGCGGCGGGTAGGGGGTGTAGTCAGTTGCTTGTCGATCTTAATTCAAAGAGAGTCAATTGACCATGGACCATGCTTCACGCCTTTCGATGGATCGCCTTTCCTACACAGACGACGCCGTCAACAGTCGGTGCTAACAACTTACGCGGTACAGTACGTTTGTTTCTGGAAAATCTTTAAATGGACAGTTTTGAGGGGGAGCAGGCGCGAGGCTTGCGTGTTCCTAGCGCTGGCTCCTCCCTCCTTCGATCTCTCTAACCCCGGTGCTCGCGGGTTCTAACTACCCTACGACCGATCGTGCTTCATTTATCGACTTGTTAGCGGACAGGAACAAATAATGGGGTACGCTGAGCGTGTTTGCGTGAAACATGCAGTCTACACATACATAGTCTATGTAAATGTAGGCGGGGGACGAGCATATCGGCTAGAGATGGAACACGCGAGAGGAGCAAAGGCAGACTCAGTGAAGGAGCAGAGGGTGAGAGCCAAGAGATGAAAAGCAGCGGGAAGTCTTAGCGCGAAAGCACGTCAATAGACAACAACGCACCAGCTCTGCAAAGAAGAGTGCTTCCACCCCTATCCCGCGGGCGCACGCGTAGATCTTGGTGCGGCCGTCGGCTACCGGCCCCGACGCGACCACGACGAACCCCTGACCCCGAAGGTGCCCAGCGAGGGTTTCCACCTCCGGTAGGCGGCCTATCCGGCACCTTTCGAACCAACGACAACGTTTAAAAGGATAAATTCACGTGGTTACAGTTTCAGCCAACGGAGTGTAAGGTGAGTCGATGTTACTGGTGTTGACCGATTCCACCCCCCCAAGGAAGTTCATTCTGACACCGACATACAACAAACGCAAGTGAGGAGGTCACGGCCACATACGCGTCCAATATGTCTCCGTTCAACTTCAGTTAATCCTCCCCCGCCTCCCCTCGACTTCTCTGTGCTCCCGTAACTCTTGCCTGAAGCTAGCGCAGGTACGAAGGGCGTCCCATGCAGAGCCGAACTCCTCCGTCGTGCTGGTGAACGACCTATCCAGGGTGACCGCGTCAGGCGGGGGGGGTCCGCCGCCATCGCCAGTATTCTCCCCGCCGATTGTACTATCGTCCGACGACGATCTTTCCCACCCATGAAGGTAGTAGCGTTTCGTGGGACGGGGGGAGGAGATTGCATGATCGCAGAGAAACTTCGAAAGGCCCTCCCTTGCGAACGTCCATGAAAAGACAGGACATACTCAAGGCGAGGGAGAGGGTTGGGGGTTGCACGAATGTCTACTATTCGAATATCTGTGGGACTACCTAGCATGCCGCCGGGCAACCATCCCTATGAATCCAAGAAGAACCTAAGAGAACGACACATCGTGCCGAAGAAAAGCAGAGAAGGGACAGGGGTATCGAGGAATCCCGCGCTTTCCAGAAGGTGGGGGAGTGATGTCTCAGGTGTGGGAGGATGAGGGGTACAAAACGATCCTAAGTGAACCAAGCACATCAAGCCAACCGTTTGACGTAGCCCGATCCGACAAGAAGGGCTAAATTGCGCAGTAGTTATTGGTCTTGCAGGGGAACACGGAGAACTTTGAACAACCGTTCGCGCTGACGGTTATCAAAATATGTACGTAAGGGGCAAAATATCGGTCGAGACTGTTTCTTTATTCAGTGGAGATGATAGAAAGAGCACATCTCCCCGCCTTCTGTAGATGAGGATTCCCTGTTTTCGCGACCCAATCCAACTGACTTCACGTTCGTTTTGAGAACACAACCTCGTGCTAGTTTTTGAACACTACCGTCGGGCGCGCGTTTGACATGCAGCTGGAGCTGGGGATTAGACCGCGGCGAAGGTTTTTGGCTTAGAAAACTCAACAGTCACGGGTTGATTTGCCATATTTTGTGTGCACGACTCTACCGGCCAACAATGAAGCACCATGATTCGCATATATGCAGGGTTCCCTATGATACGTGTGCGTACAATTAATGTACAACATCAGCCGAGCTACGAGATTCAGGGCGGGAACGAAACTTGTTTGGTGAAGTTCAAACGCCCTCAACCCTAAATCCCACCCACCTGGCGCTGAATGCCCGTTTGTACACCAGTCGATTGCCCCCCGGCGCGAACATGCTCCGCCGCCTGGGCGCTGCTCTAGGGCCACCGTTTGAGGAAGGCCACGGGGCCCCTTGTGTAGGCTGGGTCGTCACTACGGCACTCCCGTCCCCCAGCGTTGTTGCTGTGGCGGTACCCAATAGGAAGGAGGATGCCGGTTGTGCCGCTGCTGCGTTTCCTAGTTTGATGTCGACGCCTGATACTGTCGCCCGTTTTTCGAGGAACGCCTGATGGAAGTTGCCGTCGCGCATCCCGGACATAGTCGCAACGTCAATAACAACAATAATGACAAGAAATTCTGCTCTGTGTTCCTCATCTTGATAATCTGGATACCAACGATTGCGATTATTTCTATCTAGTAGTTGGATACGGTCAGTGTCCTCGGAGGAAATATAGCCATCATCACCACTACCACCATCGTCAAAGCCACTAAGTTAAAGCAGAATCACCATCACCACCATTTTCCACAACAAAAACAATTACAAAAACAACGACGACAAGAACAGTTTCTCACTCCCTTTAACTCTCAGGGCGTCAGTTTTACGCATTTCGGTATGTTTGGACGCACTAGCCGAGCTCACACAGAGGAAGGGCATACAGGAGTTGTGTTTTCTCCTTCTTTTTGAGGTGCTTATTCGTGTTTTCATCTCGAGCAGATTCAGCCAGTATAGTTTTATCACGTGATGGGATTGCTCTCCCTGCTGTGGGAAGTAGGATACAAACGTAGCAAGGAGGAGACGGGTTCATCCCGCTCGTGCAGACGTTTCCTCGGTCTATCCAACACGAGTTCAAAAAGAATAAGAGCCTAGACCACAGCACGAACGATGCAGTCTCCGAATGTGCCCCCAATAACCTTGTATGGGCCCATGTGCAAACGAAACCGTGAACAACGTTTAAAAATTTCCATGGGTACAACAACAAAAAAAGAAGAGGTTGGCACATAGCTCTTGGCTTTGTTGACGCACGAAAAATATACCGTTTCCCTTGATACCGTCCCATCACCCCACGCGGCACAAAGCACCTCGTCGTCGCTTTCCGTGTCGCTTTCCGTGTCGCTTTCTCCCGTGCTGTAGCTGTCGTCGCTGCTCTCGGTGTCGTCCCTCCTTCCCCTTCTCCCGCCACCCTCGTCGGCCGAAGACGCTTCCTCTGAGCTCATGGGAGGGGAAGCGAGCAGGCGTCCCGTGGACAGGCTGCGCGCGATCTGGGTGTAGGTGTCGTCGCGGTTGATGTTGTTGTAATGTTGCTGTGGCAAGTTGTTGTTGCTGATTCGTTGTTGATATGTGGCAAACTTGAAGTACAGTAGGTCAAACTTTCTTACACACGGAAGAGTCAGCCGTTCTTAACCCCTGTATTTCATCCACAAGTATCACAAGGGCGGTATTGCATCGAGATGCGCTGCCGGACGAGAATAAACCGATAAAAAATCAAGCGTAGCTGAAGGCCGGCGGATTCACCGAGCCCAGAAATATTACGAAGATGACCAAAGTGAGTGCTACGATGCCTACTGTCGCTTGGTCGGGGGCGGTTGCGGCGCCGGCGGCAGCGGCCTGGCCCTGCTACTCACCTCGACATCCTTGTCACCCCCTTGCCCGTCACCGAAGGCGTTTCGTGCGGCGTCCGCCGACTTCTCCTTCCTCAATAGGTACTGAGACACCAGAAGGGACACCGTGATGCCAAGAAACACGGACCTGCCACACACACCGAGGAAACAACGCGACAAGGGGGGCGAGTGGCCGGGGGGAGGGTACTCATGATTTTCGTGCCTTTGGTTTAGACAAATTGGCCACGGGCGGAGGGAGGGGGAGAGAAGGATGTCACTGTTGCTGTTGCTTCTGTTGTTGTCGTCGCATTCCTTGTCGTTCTCGTCTTTGTTGTTGCTTTATAGTCGTTCCGCATTCCTTCGAGGACCTCTCTTGTGGTCTGAAACCGGCCACATTAGTAGATCCGCCGTAGGTAGGACAAGCAACAACCCGAACACGGGACTGTTAGGCCCCTCCGCTCGCCCCTATCCTACTACTCGCCCCCGTCCCCGCCCCTGCGAAACAGGCGACGGTCAAGCTTCTCTCACCACACGTCCGTGAGCGTCTGGACGGTAGTGATGGCGACCAGCAGCATGCGGATGCTGTGCCTCTCCGAGTAGTCGCGGTCTTCGCTCCAAGACCAACCAAGACCTACCCACAGCCAGAGCCCTACTAGTATATCGAAGATCTTGACGTAACCGCAGAGCATAATGTAGTCCCACTCAAGGACAACCTATCAATCGAGGGGTGGGTGTGTAGCAAGGGGTCCCAAGTGAGAACACTTCTCAGACAGTGAGCCAGAGAGCAGGTCGCCTTGGAAGTCCCGCCCTGTTGTAGATTTTAGGCCCTACACGTGGAGGGGGGATACACTGTGTCGACTTAGGCCCTACCGGTAGTCCCACGCCAACATCTATGTTTGGAAAGCGGGGAGAAGAAAGGCCAGGAGTACTTGTACCGCAGTTACAGATTTGCATACAGCTATACTATTCCACGTCTCTTGTGTTCCACGCTATACTTTTTGCCGGGTGATGGCAGAGCGGTACTGTCATGCCAAGTCTAGCTCAGCGACCTAGGTTACCCTCCCCGAGTTTCCGACTACTTTCGACAACCATACCAAAGACACACCTCCACCTAATCGCTGTATCGTGACCATATCTTACTTTTCTATTGCCCTGCTCTTGGTGTGGAACAAACGCGGTTTAATTAATCGCTATTATTACGCTGTCAACAAGCCTCTTATCGCTGCGCGCACCACATAAGAACCTTGTATCTTACCCGAGACGTGTCTCGTATTTCTCTGTAGCGTAACCCAACACCAGGTATAGTACTATTTACTGGGCACCTATTGTTACGGTTAATGTCTTGTATTTGTCTGTTTTGTGGTACCTGGTCTTCTTTCCTAACTCCCAGGTTTTTAAGTGGCGACAGACAGACAAGCTTCACAAGGGGGGGGGGACTGCAACCAACCTTAGGGTACGTGACCCCATGTCGTGCTCGGCGGCGCTCCTCTCTAGCCTGATGCCACCCTTGGAAGCACGCTAGACACCCAAACACGTTCAGGCAGAGCGCCAGATCCATGTTACGGAAGAGCGCTGCCGACACCAGCAGATCCGTGAGGCTCTGTTTTGTTAATGCCGAGAGAGAAGGCAGGAACCGAGGGAGGGATGCCGAGAGAAAGTGAAGAAGTGGGGGGAGAGATATGAATCTAGGGAACAAGTGGTTATAACACCAAACAAGCAACAGGGAAAGTCAGGACTTCCCTTATCTGTTCTCCGCTGGCTTCATGTGTGTTTTGTACGTGGCGTTTATGTCCGTCGATTTTCTTCGCCTCAGCCCCCACCGATACCGAGATTTTGCAGTTGGTCAGAGTTTGACCATGTGCCTTCAAAAATCGTTGCGCACTCCAGCACACGCCTTCAAAACCCGTCTGCACCAGGCTTGAAGTTGTTTCCAAGCGACACCACCACCGTGCTCGAAGTTGTTGTTGTTGTTGTTGTTGTCTTCACGTGCGAGCGTCATGTTTCGTAATATTGCGGCTGTTTTCTCAAGGGCCGAACCCCGGCCAATACTACTATCCGCGGAGGTGGGACAAGAAGAGAGCGATTTCCAAGCCTCCGTGGGCCAACCAACTCGTGTTGTCTAGCCGCCCAAGTTTCACCCGCGTGCTTTATGCCCCCCCCCCCCCGTCATTTCCAAGAAGATTAGTTAAGGATGTACTCCGTTTCGGTCTCCAAGGGCTGTACAATTAGTCTGAACGGGTTCGCCGTTGGCGACGACACAGTGAAACAGGAGCTTTTCTTCGTCTAGAGGTATCGAGGGAGTGCATGCGTGACGAGGCAGCCGGCTGCCCTCGTGTCTTGCCTTCAAGAAGCAGATGGCGGCAAGCGGTATACCCGCCCCCTGGGAGCTGGCGAACTGCGGAGCCCACTCGAACCCTATCCCTGCAACGCCTGCCATGACTGCGAGAGCCATTGCAGCAAGCAGGTGGAGCCAGGCCAAAGCGACCACGCGGTTGTACACCTGGGTTGGACATTGGAGGATGAAAAATCGACGGAGGCGTTGGGTCCTGGCGCGAGATAATCCATGAGATTCCAAGGGATCAATTTATATTATTCGCTTCCACGGTGTTGTTGTTGCCCTGCTGCTGCTATTGTTGCTAAAGGAACAATAATTCCTCACTGAGGTGGAGCCAGGACACGGGGGCGACCACACAATGGTTGGTTGTGCATTGGATGATAGACGGTTAACAGCATTATTTTAGGGACGAAACAGGGGCCGGTTTTTCAACTGATCTCTTCAGGACCAGATATTGCGTCGGTCCCCCCTACTGTTTCCGGGTCGTGGGTAGAACCACTATGTGTACCGCGCAAAACCCCAGGCGACGCATACTTCACGGCGCTACTTTCCACATGTTTACGTGAGGCTTGTCCCGGTATACGAGTTCCGTGCGAAACGGCCCACAACCAAAGATGGTATGCATATGATCGACTTTGTTTGGCACATGCATTGTAGAGGGTTACCGCGTCAGGTACCTTACCTCCTTGGTGAGCTTTCGGGGCGATCCCCACACGGGCAAGAACAGCTTAAACCTCCTCCAGAGCAGGTTCAGCGCGTGGACGCCCTTTAGAGAACCACAGAAAGGGGTTTGTTGTCCAAAAAATGGTTTGTTGAGTACGTGAACAGTCGTAGAGTAGGGACGACTAGGTTACGAGGTGATCTGGCCGCGTTCGCTTCGACTATGAAAGTGAGGTAGGTGCACATTCATCAAGTTTTCCCAGCATATTTGGGGGTAGTATGAGATATAGCGTATCGAGTCAACACTAGACCTGCAAGGGAGGAAGTCCTCCACCGATATTGGATGGGTACTCCACATCTTGGTCAATGCTACAAGAACGCCTTAGCAAGCGCGGTCGTCAACTTCACGGGACAACATCCGCATACTCTCGTTGGAGCCAGCTGCACTCAGACTTGGGCTCAAGTTGACCCGCTGACGAGGCCTGATTTCATCGAAATGTGAAACGAAAGCACCGGGGATATTCAATACCTGCGGAAAGGTCGCGAGCAGCCCTTGCCAGGACAGCGCCTTGAGTCCCGCCGCGATACCAACAACAATCCTCCCGAACGCGTGCATGTTTCTTTCGACGATGACTCTCTGAAGGTCGTCGTCCTCATCCTCCAATTGGCTCAACGCGTACGCCTGGGCGAAGAGGCCAAACGCCCATGATTCGAGCAAATCAAAATCATGGAACGGGTGGGTCTGGACATCCTGTAGGTACATACATTATGAGATAGCAATGGACCTAGCATATTGACGCAAGCAGCTGCTACCCTCTTCCAGTCACAGGACCACACGCAGGGACGCTGGACTTGACGTACTCTGACCTCTCTTGAGACAACAACAGAAAGAAATGTACTTGCCGGCAGCGATTTCCTTCCTGGATCTCCCCGCCCACTTAAAAATACATGCGTACACGTCTAGCGCACCATAAAAGATATGCCGAAACCGAACAGCACCGGTGCAATAAGTCCATGTGAGTCTTGCTGGCACCTTAAGGTCCGACGCGAGAAAGTCGACGTCCATGAACAGAGACACGAGCACCGCGGTGCTAAGGGCGTAGGCGAAGGAGCGCCTCCGCAGGGCCCTCACGCCGTCGACGTTGCTGCACGCCCACAGCAGGGCGGTCGAAATGGGAACGTTATGAGACGGAGCCCCCGGGTAGAGGTCGGCCATGAAGGAGACCGCCAAGGTTAACAGGCAGAGGTTGCAGACGTAGGTGTTGCGGTAGACCTGGTTGCGGGGGGGTGGGGGGCGATGGAGCGTAACTCTCGAAAATGTTGGAACGGGGTTAAACTCATTATAATCGATGGTCGCATTCCTGCGCATGTGTAGCCCGTCGTTCCCTGTGTTTGATACCCGGGGAGGGGGAGGACCGACCAACTAGGCCTTGGCCCAAGCGCGGCTCTTGCCTTGACGCGCCCGGCGAGTTGTTGCGTGAAGAGTCCCAACAATTTATCGCTAGGCGGACTTCGGAACGTTGTGATCCTTTTCTCGTTTAGATGCTCCAACAACACTTTGGTGGCTACTCTCAGAGACATCCCAAACGTTGTCGCGTCGAACGAAAAACGATACTATTGACTTCATGTGGCTCTTGCAGGGAGAAGGAAAAAGGCGGCACGTAGCCACGGCGGGTCAGAACTGGTAGGATCTTTAGTTGCATACGTGCGTGCGTTAGATGCGTCACAACAATCCTTCCAGGTGTATCTGTTCTGGGGGGTGAGACCTATCATAGCACCTCGGGGATTGTTCTTCCTATGTATTTCACGCTCCTGCCGCCAATCTCTCCCTCGATGCGGCTGTGCTTGCTTTTTCGAAATCATCATACCTTGTCGACGATTACAGCGGCCGCTACTTGCACCGACATTCTTCGCTTCACAGGAACCGGCACTGTTCTACCCGCCGCCGCCGTCGCTGCGGACACCGCCGCCGCCGGTTGCCCCTCGGTCCCGGCTGCCACGACGACCCCATGATCATCGTCGTTCTTCACGCCGCCACCGAGCTGCTGCCCCGCCGCACCCGCGTCTTGGCCGATACTGGGTTTCTGGAGGACGCTGCTGGGTCCATTGTTGATGTTGTTGATGTTGTTGTTGTCACCTCCGGCGCCGCTTCTCCGGGATGAGGGCCGTCGGGAACCAGAACCAGAGGAAGGAGCACCGCCGCTACGGGCTGCTTGTTGTGCCCCAACCGATGCCACCACGCCGAGAGCGAGCGCCGGGACCGATGGCACACTGATTTCGTCGTTTTCCTCTCGCCGAGGCTGCTGCTGCTGCTGCTGCTGCTGCTGCTGTTGCTGTTCCTTACGGCGAGCGCTAGCCGGCGGAGTCGCGCCGGGGGCGAGAAGGGCGCCCTTGTTTTCCTGGGTTAGGGCCTGTCGCAGTGGGACCGGTCGATTTTAAGAAAGGGGGGGACGGGAACGACGTGCGCGACGGGCAAAAGGAAAGGCCGGTCAGGGTGGTCGTGGTTCTGCTGCTGCCGGAGTTTCGTTGATCGGCACAAAGGTTGGTTTTGGTGGTGGTGGGTGGTGGTTGGTGTTGCCGAACGCTGGCAATCGATTTGGGGCACAGAACGCGCGTTGGCAGTCGAAAACTTAGCCAGCTACAAACGTAGACGACGAAAGCACTTGGTTCAGACAAGGCAAAAAAATAAGGGACAACTAAAAACCCATTTTTGTAATTCTGTTGTTGCTGCTTATCGTCCAAATGCGTGAAAAGCCAAGTCTGCTCTTTCTCACCTTGTCAAACCCCTCAAACCCGACGGCTGCCTCCTTTTCTGCCACTTCCGCCGATCTATCCACCAGCTTGACGGCCGCTCCAACCATCTCCGTCTCCAACCCAACGACGGCCAGGCAGAACCCGTGCAACGGCGGTATCGGCGCGGCCACCGCCACCTCCCACGAAAACCCGCCCTCATCTTTCCCCGCGCCTTTTTTGTCGCCACCGCTCGTTTCTCCCTTGCTGCCGCCGCCGCTGCCTGCCGTCGGGCTACTACCAGTGTCTTTCACCCGGGCAAGCTGCATCGATGGTATCCGGCGGCTTCCGTTCCCACCACTTCTAGCGCTCGAGGAGCCGCTCCTAGCGCTTTGGCTCCCATCGCGGGCTGCCACCATTTGCACCGTCTCGGGGGCGGGTTGTGACGAAGCAGTAGCTGCGGTGGCGGAGGCTGGTTCCGTTTGTGTGGGCATCTTTGCGCTTAGTCGACCTGGTCGCCACGCCTGTTGTCAGGAACGGCCGTCGTCCAAGGCAGCGGAGAGTGCGTAGAACGAGGGCAGTGCGGACGTCGAACAGGCTTACAAGGAGAGCGTTAAGTTATGTGGGCATTTAATGTCGCGGTACGTCTCCGGGGTGTTTTCATGTTCCCGAGGGACATACTCAGGGCACATTGGTCGCAGCACTTGGCGTGTGAGTCATTATGCTTTGTCGGGTATGTACTTGGCGGGGCGATGGTGTAGACAATGACGTTGTCCGCGTCACCCTAGGACACTCCTCTTGTGTACTCGGTGTTCACAAGACATTGAGGGCTGCCTGGATGAAAAAAATATAGTCGTTTCATGCCTTTCGGGTCGTGGGCTGTCTCCAAGCACGACCAAAATGAACTGTGTGTGCACCTCTAGCAAGTCCAGCTCGAACGATTCTGTGGTCGAGGACCACGTGGCCGCCTTGCTCTGCAGCCTGACCACCGCTTGACGGGCCCTTCCGGCGAGGGCGGCTTCCCACAACCCGTCGGCCCGGCTTGCCGTCGCCGAGCCCCACACCGTCACTCTGCACATGGTTTTCGTTTTGGTTTGGGACAAAATTGGTTAGTTTCACGGAACGATTAGGTATGATGAACCGGATGGCACATATACGCAGGGAACTGTATGCTCATCCAGGTGGTCACGGGGACGACGCTATTGGGAACGTGGGAGCACTCTGCTCGCACTCCGCGCCGGGGCTCGCACTGCGACCGGATGTGGGCTTGCCCAGGTCATGCTAACTAAGAGCCTTCACAGGCCTCCCGTGCGCCACCTCTCAACAAGCGTATTGAACTTTCTTCTTCCAACGAAGTGAGAGTCGCTGGATTCCCCCAGGCACCCGTCATTCGAAACCGCGTTCTCTACGAGGCGTGCCCAGTATTTTCCAACCACGAGTTCCAGACACCTACCGATGTAATCATCTGCTCTGCGTCATCGACAGACATGTAACTGCGGTAGGGTCGATAGACACGCACACGAAGAACACACCCGCAAGTTCCTTGCTCAAGCAGTTCCCCTCCCGCCGGCTCCTCCTCCTCCTCCTGACCGAGCAGAAGCACCGCCTGAACCTCCCTCGGAGCAGCAAGCCTCGTCGGGTGTGTCGAAACCCGGATCGCCATCAACTCTCCCTCCGCACCCTCCCCTTTTCCTCCGCCAAGAAGAACGCTGTAGACGGCTTCCCGCCCGCCTGCAACCGTCGGCGTAGCCTTCACACGCGCAACAACGTCCCCGGCTGCACTTGCCCCACCCGATGCAAGCTCCCGAACACACAGCAGGGTCGGGTCGCTTTCGTCGGGCACAGCTTCCAGGCCGAACGGGAGCCCCTGGGCCCTTGCTGCTTTTCTTCCCGAATCGGCTGCGGCCAAGCCCTCTTCGTCGAATACCATCCTGTATCTCCTCCGTTTGCTCCTCCCGGCAGCGTCGCTTGCGGGGTTAGTCGGCGGTTCGGCTACTGAACTCGAGGGGGCTACGGCGAGACGCCCCCCGACCCCGTCTGGGTAGGCGGGCGCGGCCACGAGCAGGCTTCTGGCAGACTCGTTCATCTTCTCCAAGGCCAACCTCCTGGCTTTGCCTTGGTGTTGGTGTGCCTGCGAGGAAGCCCCTTCAAGGGCGACGGGATCGGCCGTGGAAGCAGCGGGTATACTGCTGGACAAAGAGAGCGCCGCGTTTCCGGCCCTCGTGATGGATGAAGCGCGGCGGCTGCGCCGGGGAAGTTGCACCGGGGGCTCGGACTCTTCCCCGCTCGAAGAGGAGGAATCGTCCGGGTTTATCTTTGGAACCCCTAGTGGCTCCTGCATGCAAAGAGCCGCGCGAAAAGCCGGGAGTGCGAGCGGTGGGCGGTGTGTGATCTTTGCGTTTGATGGACACGAGAAAAACAGCAGGTGTAGGGAAGGAATCTTCCGCGAGCTGGGGAATAAACGGTTGGTTGGGCCGTCCAAGGAGAAAGGGCTGAGATTGCGTGAGCGGCCCCTGAAGGATACAACGAACGCCGGGTAGTCTCGAGCAACAACCGTCCAACACGTGCTTCGCCTGATCCAAAGCCCCCGGTACGATGCGTAACTTTGACGCGGATATTAATATTGGGTATTAGACGCTGAGGCGCGAAGTCTACATATGGAGCAACGACCACTTTACATATTCGGAAACCCGAAGCACACGTGTGTCATAATGTCGTCGGGAACCCGCGCTTAACGAAGAACGGGCGCAGGACAAACTACAGCAGTAACTTGAAACATGGTCTACTGTATGCGAAAAGGAACGTGTATCTCACCGCCTGCGATATGGTGTTCCCCACGGCTGCAAGAAAGCTGCCCCTGAGGTCCCCACCCGGTTTCATGGGCCTCGGCGATGCTCCCGCCTGTCGATCGGTCAACGCACGGTCCCTACTATTGTCTGCATCGGCTGGTGCTGGAAGTCTCTCCTTTACTGTCGCACTCGCCGCTGCAGCTGGCGTATGTTCTTCCATGGCACCCGCATTTGATAAGCGCCCATGGGCCGTGGTCAAAGCTCCAGCCACAACTTCGGTTGCCGTCGCTGTGATGGCTTCACTAGGCAGTGTTTGAAGAATTGATGTTGCGGGCATAAGTTCTTTTCCGTTTTTAGTGCCAGTAGTGGTCCCCTCCGCTTGAGCCATAATAGTCTACGCTCATGTGTTAGTTGTACGTATGTGAAGTTCCCTGCAGAGTGACCGAGCGCAGTAGCCGAAGTGGTTTTTGGAAGTCGACCGTAGCGGTTCATCTTTTTCTGGCGCGAAGAAGGGCTTCTACACGTTATTGAAACCAATATCATGTGCATCCTTAGTTGGGCGAACAGCAGGTACTGTACAGCAATACCACATAGACAATAGCAATAGACATGTATTACATCCATAACGATGGAGATAGACTCTGCACATAGATACCACCACCAGACCATACAATGTAGACGATGGTCGATGCCCTCGGATCGGAACGCCTCAGGTAGCGCACCTAAGTCAAGGCAAGCTACCTCCCTCCTCCTACACTACCATCATGTGTCAAACAATATGATCTTTAGACTTACAGCATTAGTCTATGGAGGCTACTGCTTTACCAGGCAACATGCTGCTCATCATTTACAGTGTACAGCAGTACCTCTTGGCTCCGGAACATGCGCCGTCCGCTCGCAAGGAGTTTTGTCGATCAGTTTCCTTGTTCCATGCCTTTACTTTGAACATCGAGCCTGTGGGACGTCTCGGCCTTATTTCTCCGACTACGGCATCATCCTTGGTCCAGCTCCATTCAATGCATACAATCTCTCTACAATAATCGATCCGCAAAGAGACATGTACTCTCCTGCGCAATCGGTCGTCGTTGTCGCAAAACAGGAATTAAATATGGCAGTTTCACCTTTGCCGAAAAGCCTCGGGCACCCGCTATGTACTCCCTCTCGCAAACTGCGTCTCCCCCCCCCCCCGGCCGGTCGCGCCAATGTGCGCCGATAGAGCATACCGTATCGTCGCTCGTGTGCACTAAGGGGACGCAATGGCTTCTACTACCGATGACTTCGAGGTGCCCTGGGTGGAGAAGTACCGGCCCAACAAGCTCGACGATGTGAGAGAAAGAGAGAGAGGGAGAGAGAGAGAGAGAGAGGGATAGAGGCACACGGATACATCTGTGCAGTGTAGAACAGGGGCTTCTATCATATGCAGGGAGCAGATCGATCAAGGCGCACGAATTCACCGACAGCTGTGTAGCACACGTGTCGAGCAAGAGAGAGCGTGCGCCACAGCAGCCAATTTATCCCCTACCATAGCCCTTCCTCTTTTTGGTGGTCAGGCTTTCTCGCTCGGTTGAGAGACTGGCACCTCCCATACTTTGTGTGTGACTCCATTCTGATCTTGTCCGCAAAATTTGAAATTCAAATCCGCGCTCCCTTGCACACAGCAGCAGTGTCGTTCAGGAGTACTGCTGTAGTCTCGCTCCCTTGTGCACATAGCAGCAGTGTTGTAGGCTACAGCGTAGCTCTCAAAGGATCATCGGCAGCACATCGCCGTGCGAACAGGGTGGGGGAACGAAAGGTTGCATTCGGCGTTCATGCGGCGGTCAGGAGTACACTCATGTGCTAAGACGTGCGCGGATCGCTCTCTCACTGCGCTTGGTTGCCGCAAAGCATTGTATTTTCAGTACACTGCTGTGAGCAATTCCTTCGGCGACGCATGGGTTGACGGAACCGGGGGGACGGCGGAAAGTCGGTGTTGTGACACGCGCGTGCTCTTGCGTTCAAAACCATGACTCCATTAGTTCATGTCTTGATCAGCAGCGGTTGTTTGCATTCAGATATTAGGTGTGTTGACCAGAAGACGAGCATCGTAGAAAGCTCTCCCACACCGCACCGCGACTGACTACAGACGCGGTCGCGCGTTTGTAGGCATGTCCAACAGGAAACCATTCTTCGGCCCCGTTCTAAAGACGTTCTTCGACATGATTCTACAGCTAGGGGCTATGATACCGCCAAGCTAAATAGCAGGGCCCCGATTGCTTTGCGTTATCTGCAACGGGAACGGTGAGTCCACTCCCCCGGCGTGCGCAACGAATCTCGGGCACCGGGTGATGTCATTCGATATGTTCACGGACACGGGCACGGTGTGTGCGCGCCAAGCTGGCGAGCTTTCTGGCGAACTCACGGCCCAACAACGATAACAACAGCATCATCATTAACAATAGCACCAACATGATCAAAAACAACATCTCATCATGATCAACAACAACAACAACAACAGGTGGTCGGGAACGAGCAGACGTTGGACCGGCTGAAGGTGATCGCCGAGGAAGGGAACATGCCCAACGTCATCATCTGCGGGCCCCCAGGGACGGGGAAGACGACGAGCGTCCACGCCCTAGCGCACACCATGCTCGGTGATGCGTACGCGGTGAGAAAATAAACGAAAACAGCATGTGTAGATAGCAATGGCGAAAGCATGCGAGGAGGGTTCCTCAATAGTGCCGGTTGAATAGTGGCACAACCCACGGAATAGCGCCGGTGGAATCGCATGCCATGGATGGACTATTTCAGGTTGTCTGATTCTCTGAATAACGCCCGGTATGGTGCGGGTGAATCTGGCGGGCATATACCGGCACTACTGAGGGGCGCCCACTACTGTACCGGTCTTTCGCAATGCCTGAGGAGGCAACCTCCAAAAGCTTTCTAAGTCTTGGAAACGTCTCTCCCATGCTCCCTTCTTGAAGTCCTGTCGAATCCGTGGAGAACGCGCCTACGGTAAATGTGTTGGCCAGAGCTGCATCTCGGGGCTGGGAAGGGGGCGTGCTTCCGTCTTAAAAGGAATGGTCTTCATGGCGCGGTCCAGGAAGCCAGGAAACAATTGGGTATCCCCCCTATCGAGCTTTGTTGCCAAGGGCAGAAATGATTCGGCTCGGCTCCGCAGGAGTGCCGTGTGATGTCTTGGTCGACAACCTACGGCAAGCATGACCATGCGTACCCCCCCCCCCCCCCCCACCCCCACTGGTACAGTCTGCGTTTATAATGTGAGTTGTGTG